CAAAATCGTGCTATCGGCGAATGCGACGTACAATTATCGTCCGAGTATCCATTGCTCTTCGTTATAATTACGACGTTTTCCAGCGGTCAATTTATTTCGGGGAACAAAACATTAATCGGCTTGTGATGTAAATTGCAGCTGACGTGAACGTATGATACTTCCATACTAAATACACGAGGCTGATAACGAATACTTCTCGCAATACAGCTTCGATGTGAGAATGGATTGCACTGTGCATTCAAAGCGCTGTAGAACGGTGAATATAAATCGTATTTGGACGTTTTTGGGCTAGTTACAAAGGGGAGACTTCCCTCTATATAGGATCGTCCCGAGATAAATACGCCAAAAAAATTTTCGAACGCCATAGAGTTGTTCGAATTTGGGAAATTTCAACGCGAAAATCATCTTCGGTGTTTCCCTTTTTTCGACAATAAAAAACGATCTTTGATGGAATACCGTGAAAAGACGCGAGGGAGTAGAGCAGGGGTGTCAAACTCGCGGCCCGAGATGAACATTTTTGCGGCCCAGTCAATATATCCGACGCAAAGTAAAAATAAAGTAGGAATGTGAATTAGAAATTTTGAAAGTAGTCTCGGCCAATAAAATTTCTCCCGAAATAGGAAAGATAGTATCAGAGAAGAGATGTCAAGTATCAGGACGTAAACAATAATTTAACTTTATATATGTTTATTACAATGTACTAGTCAAAATAAAAATATTTGTTTCTATGAACATTGATTTTTTTTGCGGCCCATCTAAAGTTAAGCATTGTTTATTTGGCCCAAGTTAGCTTTTGAGTTTGACACCCCCGGAGTAGAGGTTTCACGCTTTAAAATGAGCGTCGAAAGAAATCTCCAGGAAAATTGTTCATGTCCGTAGCGTCGTTCGAATTTGCAAGATTTTACGAGAAATAGAATCTTCGGCTTTCGGCTCTGTTTGATAACGGCAACCCGATGCACGAAAAAAATAAAGTTGGAAGGCATAAAAGTAGAGGTTTCTGGCATCAGAAAGGAGCCGAGCTTGAGTTTCGTACGATGTTTCTTCCACAGTGGTACAGCAATCCCAAGATCGACTATTTCCACATCGAAATTTCGTGATTTCTCCCAGAGATTTATGAAGACCGGTTTATATGCTCGACAGCATTACATTCGAATTTATAATCAAAGGGAACTAGACCACCGTCGTTTTACGCTACTTGGAATAACCAATCTGCAGACTTTGCGGAAGATGCACGCGTTGCATAAAATATTATTTGACGCATAATTATACGGACTTAGAATTCTATAACAGCCTCTCGCTGCTCCCGGTCTTCCATATAACGATGCATCGAATATTACTTGTTATTTATGTATATGGCGAAGCCAATGTCACGCGAATGTTCTAATATTTCGCTCGGCTGAATTGCATGAACGTTGCACGAACAGAATATATCAAGTGAATTCGGCGCATCTTCCATGCATTTGGAGATTGTCTATAACTTAATTTAGCGAGTAATTTCTGGGTTCCATCGATGTTTAATCAGTTATTAAAGTTAATTTATTTCAGGAGGGCTCGAGAGTTCAATTCAGTTTTGGTGCAGGCTAGAACTTAGCTAATACAGCGAAGTTCAGGCATTCTGTGAATGCGTGCATAGATTCCATGCTGTAGAATATGTCGAGTACAGTAAATTCTCCCTAATTTACGCTCAACTTGGTAACGAAGAAGAAGAATTTGGGAAGAGGAGCTACGATTATCCCAGGCTTGCGGCTCCTCTTTATAGTTACCGAAGATCAGTAACCATAAAAACTAGCCGCAAGGCTGATATAATCGTAACTCCTCTTCCCAAATTGCCCATTTTTGTACGCAATCTGAGCGCGAATTAGACAGAATTTACTGCATTGCCATACTCGCGAAGAAAATGGTTAATTACTCAAAAAGTCGTTCGAAAAATGTCCTATATTTTATAGTTAAATATTATATTCTACGTCACTTGTGTTTTGGAGATTAACGATATTAAAAGATTACCAATAATTATTATAAAAACTCGAAGAATCGTTAAAATCAGTACAATTTTCCTATAAGAATTTTTAATCACTGTCAATTAGATTAAATTCAGAGGAACATAACAGATGTTTCAAAAATCGAACAGTTCCATAAAAATCAAACTCATTTAACAAATATAAATTTTGTACCATGTGCATATTTTAGGTAAAATTCTGGTAAATAATATCGTCACTCCATTTCCAAGTTATTTCGTTCTCGTGAAACGGAATGAAATAATTTCGGCCAGCTTTTTTGAGTCCAAATGTCTAGAAAACGGATGATGATTTCAACCATGCCAGAATTTCTAGGAAGATCTGCACTCCAAACAAATTAATTGTTAATCGCACGCGGTTCCTTCGAAACCGTCGAAGTCGAGGTAAGGCGACAACTATATATATAAATGCACGGTGTAATTCGCGAGAGAGCGTTTACACCGCTGTTGACAATCACGGAAACGTCTGCGACAGATGTTGCAACACGTCGCAGCGAATTTCCGGACGATGTTTCATGAGTCTGCCGTCTCGAGATCATGCGAATTCGTTCTTCGCGTTATTCGTTGAAACTGACCCGGTCCTATATACTCGAAACCGTCGGGAAAAAAGTCTAATGTATTCCCGGGCATCACGAAGCGTTTCCACGACGGAGATTTCTCGATTCTTGCAGAAATTCTAATTCCGTTTACGTTGGCAGCCACTTTGCATTATCCTGAACTCTCCTGTCGAACCTCCCAGCCGCCTGGTTTCATCTTCACCCAAGGTATCGTTGGTCGAAATCGAATTTCCATCGGACAATTTTGGCTGTTTATTTGGCAACAGGTACGGTAATTAGTAGACCGCGGATTTTTACGCAAAATACGCAATTGCGAGATATTCTTTAATCATCCATTAATTATAAAATATCCTTTAATTATAAAATATAATACAATATCATAAAATATCATAAAATATCGTAAAATATCATAAAATATCGTAAAATATCATAAAATATTGTAAAATATAAAATATCGTAAAATATTGTAAAATGTCATAAGATATCGTCAAATATCATAAAATATCATAAAATATCGTAAAATATCATAAAATATCGTAAAATATCATAAAATATCGTACAATATCGTAAAATATCGTAAAATATCATAAAATATCATAAAATGTCCTTTAATCATCCTTTAATCATTTTAATAGGTTAAAAATAATGCGCTGACATTTTAAAATTCTTTTAATCTTTCCACTATCATAATTTGCAACTACCCAATTTTGCCATAAAATGGGCCTAGAATTACTGTTGTACGACACAATTTTACAAAAATATAATAATTTATATGCCGAAAAAAGTCTTAGTCGGAGATATGGTAAATCGTGAATGAAAGTATCATCTTATTGTCTGATACAGTGAACGTCACGATTTATTCGCGGAGGGTCTTCGTTTATGTCTGCCGCCCATGATGTCTGTAGCTTACAATCGTGATTGCGGTGGTCGTAAACGGTTCGATCGACCGTCAAGTTGGAGTCTCTGATCATCTGTTGAGCCCTCTCGCTGGGCCTCAACATCATTCATCTCGCGATTTAGCCGGGTCCGATGTTCAACACGCGCGAATCCCTCGCGAGAATGAACGCGATATTAATTTAAGGCTGCCGCGTTAACAGTATCGCGATCACGCGTAGGCGGTACCGAGGCATTAACGGTTAAAATTAGAAAACCACTCGTGTGTATCGCGTATACCGCGTCCCGAGGTGCGAGGAATGTTTACCTATCAATTATTCGCCGGTTCTCACCGTTCCGCGTGTGCACACAATTTATTGCGTACTATTTTTACACGGCGCTCCGAAATCAGTTTCTTTTCTCCAGCGACAGCAGTGCCGCCGTAATCGCGCGGTTATTTATTTTTGCCACTTCGGGGACCGTGGATACATTAATTCAAGCCGCAATGCCCATTTTATTTATCTTTCTACTTTAATCTAGTTGCCTCGCAGAGATCATCTTAGCGATTTATTTCGACAGAAAATAGCCCGGCAGAGTGAAAGAATGGAATGCGCTTTCCCCCCCATCAATCATTCAAGTCGACGAATGAGTTGAAACTGACTTTAAAAAAATGCGTGGAACGAAATTGCGATAACAGACGATCATTAGTAATTTTCGAAAAGGTCTTTGAAAATGTATCGAAACGGTCCGGAGCAAATGTTGAATACTTAATGTAAACATGATTGCTCAGTCTTGTGATCTATTTTTTTTTTAAATTGGTAAATTACGTAGATTGTTAGATCGAAGTGTCCTTATTTTCGAAGCAGCTAAATACGGTGAGAACTTCCTTAACCGAACATTTATTTTTACAGTGTTCTGGCATCGAAACGTTTCATTATTTAATCATATCGTATTATTTTAGATACCTTATGGTCTAATAGAGAACTTGAACGAGATTTTCAGATAATAGAATGCGTTGGTAACAGGATATTACAAAAATAAACCTTCTGACAAAGCAGTCTCTACTGTACAAATATATAGATACAGGGACAGACATTTCTCCGCGGCTCGTACGTGTACCGAACATCGGCCTCCCAAGCAGCCCGTCATTAAAAAATTTCTAATTAGCCGTAAAACGAGTCGCCGTTAACGATCGCAGAAACCGACACCGTTGCAACGCCATTTGAAAAACCACAGCGATTTTTTAACCTCGACATTCCGACCGCTCCGCTGATTAATTCAGCAACGCTCTATCGTCCGGCGGAAAAATTGGTGGCTTTCACCTCGTTGTTATCCATCCACCGAACACGCAGTCAATAAATAGCTGGCGCCCGTTGCCATTTTGTTTCGCTGAAGCATCCCGTCGTTCGAATATTTCAATAGCGATTCGAGAGAGCTGCCGTTTATGCCGATTACGCGACCCGATTGGCATCGGGGATTCGATCCGAGCGGCGCTGTAATTTCGTAGATCCTTATTACCGCAACTCGATTCCGGCGGCGCCGCGTAAACGATTTACCTTGCCACGATTCCAGATGTCCCCGAGGCTGGTGCAGCGGGGCCCGATGGTTTCGCACGTGCTGGATTTCACGTTTCAACGGGCCTCCATCGTCCAGCGCGGGCCGCACACTCGCGCCATTCACTCGCGATCCTTAAAATCGCGCGCGCGATCCAATCGCACCAGGATACACCAAACTTTCCCGATTATCCGGAATATTTCTCTTCGATCGCGAGAGTCCTCGAGCTACCGATCGCACGCTCGATCCTTTTCCAAGCTCCCGAGCAAACGAGCGAGCACTGGATCGCTGACAGCCATTGATCCTATCGGAGCAACGCGACGGAGAGAAACAATCGCGATTCCTCGGCTATTTCGACCCGTTTCTCCGTGGACTACCGAGGATCAACGATGATCCACCGGCGGACATTTAGCCTAATTCGGTACGGGCGAGGAGCGTCGTCGATGGACCCGGGTGCCAGCAGGCATCAATTCGGCGAAATCGAGAGCGCGCGGTAAACTGAAGCGAAACTTGGATCCGCGGAGGATCCACGCTCCCTCGACGCAGTCGCAAAACACGATGCAACCGTTTTGTGTCTTCGCTTCCTCTTCCCGGCGGCTACCACTCTCTTCCGAGGGCTTTCCCGCACCCACGTCTTCGGTTATCCCCCCCTCGAAAACACCCCCATGCTTCTCCCATTTTTGCGCGTCTTTCCCCGTTCCCCAATTCCTCCGAATCGGACTCCGCCAATTGCGCACGGCAGAATGATTCTCTCCGCTAAAGCATGCTCCTGGAAACGAGGTTTCGATCGTCAGCAGTCGTTCGATTTTGGAGGATTCGTTTGGAGGATTGATGTTATTGTAATGAGACGCGCAAGTTATTTTATCACGGATCCCGTAGAATTGACGGGCCATTAATATCGTAATTTACGATTATTCAGATTGTGAAAAGATACATTTGTCAGTTATTATTGTATTATTATTATTATATTATTATTATATTATTATTATTATATTATTATTATTATATTATTATTATTATTATTATATTATTATTATTATTATATTATTATTATAATATAATAAGGCGCGTTAAAAATCAGAATTATATTTATAAACAAATATAAAGCAGGTGTCTTCAGTGTTCTGTAAATCTAGTGTTAACTTCTGTGTGGTTTCTTGTTCTTGTTTTGTCTACTTATTCTTTATTTGTACTTCGAATCGTCGAATGGAGTTCTCGTTGAGCGGGTTTTCTTTCTCATTCTTTTTCTTTCCTTTGTACACTTGTTTCTGCTTTAAATTAGTAGATTCTTGGGTGCTTTCTCTTTCTCGTTCACTCGTTTCACCTTTATTTCTTTGATGGTCAAATTCTTGAGTGCTCTTTTTCTTTGTCTTGTTCTTTGTCTTTGCTTCATACAATTGTTTAGATTGTCAAATTCTTTTGTGCTTTCTTTTTCTTGCCCACTCGTGTTTGCACTATACTTTAGATCAGGGATGAACATTTTTGATGTCAAGTATCAGGACGTAAACAATAATTTAACTTTATATATGTTTATTACAATGTACTGGTCAAAATAAAAATATTTGTTTCTATGAACATTGATTTTTTTTAGCGGTCCACTTAAAGTTAAGCATTGTTTATTTGGCCCAAGTTAGCTTTTGAGATTGACACCCCTGCTTTAGATTGTCAAATTCTCGCGTGCTTTATTTTTCTTGTCCATTTGTTTCTGCTTTATTTTCTAAATCGTCAAATTCTTGTGCGTTCTCGCCTGTTTCCTGTACACTTGTTTCTGCTTTAAATTAGTAGATTCTTGGGTGCTTTCTCTTTCTCGTTCACTCGTTTCACCTTTATTTCTTTGATGGTCAAATTCTTGAGTGCTCTTTTTCTTTGTCTTGTTCTTTGTCTTTGCTTCATACAATTGTTTAGATTGTCAAATTCTTTTGTGCTTTCTTTTTCTTGCCCACTCGTGTTTGCACTATACTTTAGATCAGGGATGAACATTTTTGATGTCAAGTATCAGGACGTAAACAATAATTTAACTTTATATATGTTTATTACAATGTACTGGTCAAAATAAAAATATTTGTTTCTATGAACATTGATTTTTTTTAGCGGTCCACTTAAAGTTAAGCATTGTTTATTTGGCCCAAGTTAGCTTTTGAGATTGACACCCCTGCTTTAGATTGTCAAATTCTCGCGTGCTTTATTTTTCTTGTCCATTTGTTTCTGCTTTATTTTCTAAATCGTCAAATTCTTGTGCGTTCTCGCCTGTTTCCTGTACACTTATTTCTGCTTTATACGTTAAATCGTCGTATTCTCATGTGATTCTTTTTCTTTGTACACTCACTTTAGATTTGCAATTTAGATCATCGAATTCTACATCACCGAGAGTATAAAGCGTCAAAAGAATACATTTCGCAACACGAGTAAAAGGAGGTAAAAAGTTTTATCTAAAGAAATGAAGAAGAATCGTTATGCAAAATAAGAACACTACGTCTATGGAGAATGTATAACAAGTTGAGTAGCTTGATGGAGCTTATCGCCATTGTTCGGTTCTATGACTAACGATTTTCGCCGTGAGAGCATAAAATTCGCACTAATAATTCGCACTATAATATTATTAAGAGTCGGCCGCTTCTTCGAAAGTTTCCCAGGATCTTTTATTTTTCTGGAAAGAACGCCAGAATATCGAACCAAGCCATGAATTTCAGATCCCTTGTGGAGATGAGGGTTATCATAAAGTTCCAGACGTGGTTCAAAGGGAACGTAACTATCTGGAGAACTTTTCACGTGGATGTTACTAATCAGGCTTCGAAGTTCGTGCATAATATTAAATCGAAACATAATGTCCTATTCCGTAATCGCCGAAGTTGAAGAACGTTGTTGAAGAAACCACCGGGCTTTTTATTTATTTCAATAACTAAATGACGCTTCTCGGGGGACGATGCTTCAGAGCACCGCGAGTCTACGGATTTTGCAGGTTTTTCAGTGTAAAATTTTAAACCCGTTTTCCTCGGATAATATATTATTCACTTGGCGTAGATGAGATCTCAAAAGCTACGCGGCAGTCTGCTCTGAAACTTTCATAAGATCTTCCACAGACTATTAGCTTTCGCCAGTATCAAAATTATATTTCGACCTCGAGAGAGGTTATCACATTTTTTATTGAAAACTGAACGGAACAGAATAAAAATTATTCATTTTCGTACGGACGACAACGATAAACGTTATCACTGAACCCATCATTTTGTGCTTGCGCATTTTTCATTTCAAAACTGTTGAAATCGTAAAAGCTTTTTTAAAAAAGAATCGATATATTTCTTTATTCAAACATGCTAAATCCATTACATCATCCCAATTTTACTAGGATCCACGAAACGTAATAAGGAAAGAAGTGATGTCATACAATTCTTCAATTTAAATTTAACACTCGGTTTACGGAATTCGTTAAAATGACGGCACAGTAATTGTTTAATTTACAATTATTCAGATTGTAAAGTTATATTTATGAGTTATTTGTTCAATTTATGTATCACTTGCGAAAAATATTACGATAATACTCGTTGAAAATCAGAATAAATGTCTTATTATTACTTTTATAAACCGATGTAAAACATAATTAATATAATTATGTTACATAAACGTAAGTAATGTTATTAAATAAATATAATAATTAATATATTTGTTGAGGTCACTGGCATGGCAACCAAACTGTAAACTAAGAAGAAAACTCGGTAGAGAGTTTACAATATCAGAACCCGCTGAAAAGAATTCCCATCGGTAGCATAAGATAACACTATGCGGAGAGTGTACCGCGAGGGTGTAGCATAATAGTGATCCGAGCTTTTGTGTTCCACGCATTGTCGATACAGCGATCCGAGGCTAACCAGCACCGGTAAACAAGCCCGCATTCCCGCGATAGTACATACGTCTACCCTCGTTTCGGGATTCCATTCGTCCCTGCTGATTCCAGGGGGATTAGGCAGTAATGAGATTGGATTAAAGGTAACCAACGAGTAGAGAAAAGCTTGACGGACCCGCGGGAGTATCGAGGTCGGTTTCGCGGACGAAAATCCGTAATGTTTCCCAATTCGACGGAGTTTATCTTTGGCCTTTGTGTCGTAGCGGGCGATCGCAGTCAAATGAAACGGAAATATAGAGAACACTGTCTGGGAAGAATACCGGGGATTCTCCGGCGATCGAATGAAATCGATAGCGGGACACACTCGAGGACCGTTCGTATTCTCGGGGATCAGAGCTGGACCGAAGTCTATTCAACGATTAACGATTGATTTTCTACTTCGATTGGTCGTTGCAGTTCACGGTTAAATGCCAACTTTTTTTCATGGCGATTAATCTGTTTAATCGGATAGCTAGAACGTTGCCATTTCTTCGTGACGAGTATACTCGTCAAAAACAGATAACGGGTTATAGGGATATGTATAATAAAAAATATCAATATCAATATATATATATATATATATATATATACAGGATGTCCAAAAATTATGGTATTTCCGGGAAATGAGAGATTCCCGAGGCTATTTGAAGTAACTTTTTCCTTTACAAAAATTTTCTCCGAGGCATCGTTAACGAGTTATTAACGAAAAACAGTGACCAATGAGAGGCGAGCTCGGCTGGCGCGAAGCGGCAGAACCAACGAGCGGACGAAGCCCAGTTCAGTTCATTGGCTTGGCCGCCTCACGCCAGCTGATCTCGCCTCTCATTGGTCAGCGTTTCTCGCTAATAACTCGTTAACGATGTCTCGGAGAAAATTTTTGTAAAGGAAAAAGTTATTTCAAATA